TCCCTACTACCCACCGGCCTCCCCTCCCCCCCCCTTCACCGTCTCACTCCCTCCACCGGCGTGGGTCCGTCCATCCCCCCCTCTCCCCACCCTTACCCATGTCGGTGGCTCTCAAAGGTGCGTGTCGCTTCCAGCCGCCCATCTCCTCCTCCTCCTCCTCCCCCCCCTCCCTTTCCCAAACTCACCGCTTCCTTCCTCTGTTCAGAGATTGTGGCGAGGCTGCGTGAGGCAAAGGCGGCTCATGAACAAGAGGTGCTTGCCCTGCAGCTGTCTACGGCGGCGCGGCGTGGCGAGGAAGGCGCGCTGGCAGTGGTCCACGCCGGCGCACTGCCTGTTCTCACGGCAGTACTGAATCGCGAGCTCGTCGCCGTCCGCAACTCGCAGGCTGCAACGCTCTCGCCGTTGGAACTGCTCAATGATGTGCCACGGACGTTTGTGGCAAACCCGGCACTGGTGGCCGCCGCTCTGCAGGTCTTCATGGTCATCGCTCAGCACGAGGCTGCACGCGACGCGCTTCGCTACGCCGGCGCGCTCTTGCCGCCCATCGAGGTCCTTGCTCTGGTCCCGCCTTCGCTCACTGCGCGCGTCCTGCAGGTTCGCGCCCTCGCTGCCAAGACGCTGCTGTTCATGTCAGCGTCCGAGGCAGCACTCGAGCCGATGAACGTTCTTGGCGTCTTTACCTCTATCCAGCGCTGCCTCGACTCGTCGTCGCCGGCGTCGCCGCTCGCGCCGAACGGCTTGTCGACCCTCTCGGATACCCTGGCCAACACGATGAACTCGTGGCTGGAGGACGTGCTCCGTCTCGCGGCCGCGCTCTGCGCCAATGACCGCGTCCGTGAGCACGCCGGCGAGACCTTTCCACTCAGCTCTGTCGTCGGCCACATGGTGGCTTCGTCTGGCCGTCAGCAAGCGTACGCCTTGGCGACACTGTCGTACGTGGCCAAGTCCGAGTGGTCGCATGACGGCCTTGTAGCGTCTGGCGGCGCCATGGCGCTCCTCAACGTTATCCGCGGCTCGTCGTCGGTCCATGCCCAAGTCCTTGCCGCCTCGGGCCTCAAAGCCGTGGTCAAGACCTCGCCGCGCTGCCGTGCTCTCCTGGTCACTCGCGGTGGTGATAAGGTTCTCGTTGCGCAGCTCGAGGCACTGCAACTCGTCCCTCTCTCCTCGCTGCAGGCCGGCCAGCGGAAGCTGCTCTCGCTTGTCCTGCAAATGTACGTCGGCCTCGTTGGCGACAGCAAGCACGCCGACCGACTGCTACTCGCCGAACCTCCAGCACGTCATCTGTACCTGCAGACGCCGCGCGCCTTGCTGGTCGCGTTTCTCCATGACGAGAAGCGCTTCACCGCGGCATCTGTCTTGGACATGTTCCTAGAGCTGGCCAAGGCTAGCAACGCGCTCTGGTTCTGCGTCGACGAGCTCGGTGGCTTAGAGCGCGCCGTGGCCTGGACCGCCAACGACAACATGCTGACCCAGTTCAACGCCATGCTCCTCATCCGCAAGATTCTGGCGCTCGACAAGGACGAGCTCCTCGACCGCTCACCAACCATGGCCGCTCCGCACAAAGTTGTGACGTCGGTCACTGCTGCGCTAGACTCGTCGTCGCCGCAGCTCGTTCTCCTCGCGCTCTCAGTCCTCCGCGCTTTGCTCGAGTTCTCCACCGCCGAGCCGCTGGTCTGCGTGCCGGACATCCGGGACGCTGTCTCGCGACTGCTCCTCGTCCCAGACCAGTCGCGGCAAATCAAGGACGTCGTCCGTGCGCTCTGTCACGAAATGGATGCGTCGCCGGCAAGCTCGACCGCCTCGGCTACTGTCTCGCTCGCCAAAGCCATGCACGATACTGCTGCAGGCATGAAGCCCGCAGGCGCGGGCGGCTCGTCCAAGTGGTCCAAGGTTCGCACCGTCGTCCACTCTTCGCTCGGCCAAAAGGCAGCTATGGAGGCGTTCCGCGACCGCACTGCCGCTCAAAACGCCGACGCCGCTCCAGCAGCCTCCTCGCAGTCGCTCCAGTCGGCACTGGATGTGCTCGAGTCGCTCGACTCGTCGGCTGTCATCATGTCGCCGGCGCGCGAGAAGAACCTACAGCCGAAGGCCACCGGTCGCTCCCCACAGCGCAAGCTGACTGTTGCCGAGACTTCGTCGTTGCTCAACTCCTCGCGCGATGCCGACGGCGTTCCCCCGCTCACCCGTTCCGCATCGGGACACGACTCGGTCAACTCGATGCGCCGCTACAAGTCCAACATGGCGTCGTCACCCAAGGGCGGACTGGCCCTTGACGTGCTTGACATCGGCGAAGCAAATGCTGCCACAGCCAAGGACAACGTCAAGGCTAAGGACAAGGCCAAAGACAAGGGCAAGGGCAAGGGCAAGGGCAAGGGCAAGGGCAAGGGCAAGGGCAAGAGCAAGGCCTCTGACCGCAGCTCAAGCAGACGGCGGTCACGGTCGCGGTCGCGGTCTCGGGCGCGTTCCCGCTCGCACTCGCACTCGCACTCGCGGTCGAGGTCGCGGCGGCGTGGTGCGAGCCAGGACCACAGCCGCAACACGGTTGACCCTCTCCCGTCGTCCAACCTCCACATGCGAACGTCCATTTCTGGTGACATGCCAACCATGACAACGTCGCGGTCGCGCGATGCTATCGACGCCCTGCTGGAAACCGAGTCGAACCGGTCGACAACATCATCGGCCCGGCGGCGCCGGCGGCGCAAGCAGAAGAGCATGCAGCGAATGCACTCGTTTGCAGTGGCGCGGGACGCGGGCCGCGGGGGCCTGCTCGCCAACACCTCGGCTGCCAGCGCTGGCGCCCTCAACTACTCGTCACCCAACCTGAGACATGGTACCGGCTCGCGTTCCACCCTGCGGCGAGTCAACACTTCGTCCATTGACGACGCCCTCGCTCGTCTGCAGTCGGTCTCGGCCTACGGCACTATCCGTCGTCCGAGGCGCAAAAAGGTTGGTGGCGGCGGCTCGCCGCAGCCAGACGAGCCACCTCGTCCCGCCGAGCCGATCCGTGCCCGTGAAGGCAAGGACAAGAGCAAGGCCAAGGCTAAGAGCAAGGCCAAGGCCAAGAGCAAGGCCAAGGCCAAGGACAAGGCCGCTGATGCGGCGACACCAAAATCAGCTGCTCTCCGCGCAGCAGCTGCCGTTGCCGCAGTCGCCGACGTAACGGAGCCGCCCGCAACGGCTGCACCTACTGCTACCTCAGCGCTGCACGCAAGATCGCGTAGTTCGCAGCCGAAATCCACTGGCAAAGAAGCCGGCAAGGCGGTTGACAACGGCGACGATGGCGGCGCATCCTCCTCCGCCTCCTCCTCGTCATCTTCCTCGTCGTCCTCGTCGTCGTCCTCGTCGTCGTCCTCGTCGTTGTCAGCCGTCAAGCTCCCACCCGCCCGCCCGCGCAAGTCGGTGCTGGACTCGTCGTCTTCCGGAGACTCTGTGGTCGAGCTCGGCTGATGACGTCGAGGGTGGACAGTTTACGCACTGTTTCGGTCGCTACCGCAGCTGCAGCGTCAGAGCAGCTCGTCGTCGAAAAAGTCGTCGCCGTCGTCACCGGCAGCGGCGGGAGCCTCATACCCGTGGTTGATGTCCTGGGCGCGGTAAAGGTCAGCAACCTGGTGCGAGGACGTGGCGTTTTCGGGCGTTTTGTCCTCACGGAGGCGGACAAAGCGCGGGAAGCGGAGCGAGATGCCCTTCTCGGGGTCAACGAGACCGGCGGCGGCCTTGTGGGCTGGCGAGATGGAGAGATCGGCGGCCAGGACTTCCCAGACCTGAGCCGGCTCGAACCAGACATCGGGGGTGAGATGGTCCGGGTAGGCGTAGTAAGAGCGAGGTGCCGGAATGATGTGCGCAGCGAGCGAGGAGTGAGCAGCGGCGAGGTCTGCGTCGGAGAAGCCGGTGCCGATCTTGCAAATCGACTGGAAGCGCTCCGAGTCTGGATCGTAGCATGCGAGGATGAAGCCGCCGTAGACACCAGTCCGCTTACCCTTGCCGGTGTACGCGCCGATGACGACGAGATCGAGGGTGTCGCCCATGCCGTCGAGGTAGTCCTTTTTGACCTTGAGCCACTTGTGCGAGCGTTTGGACGGCTCGTAGGTGGCGTTCTCGTCGAGGGTCTTGACCATCAGGCCCTCGCAGTTGCCCTTGACGGCCTCCTCGAGGAACGTCTGGATCTCCTCGACGTCGGACGAGTCCTTGGCGTGGGCAAACATAAAGTGGCCCTCGGTCGCCTTGAACGTCGAGTAGAGGAGCGACCGACGGGTGGCAAACGACTCTTTGAGGAGCGGGCGCCCGTTGAGATAGAGGAGGTCAAAGGCGTAGAGACAGACCTGGACCTGGATGTCGGCCACATCGACGTCCTTGCGCTTGCGGGTTGAGAGAACCTGGAACGGGAGAATGGATTGGGTGACGCGGTCGTAGGCGACAGCCTCGCAGTCGATGACGTACGACGTTGTTGCCTTTGGATCCTGCAGCGCCGATGGGAGCATGGCAATGAGGTCGGGGTACTTGGACGTGTTGTCCTCGGAAGACCGCGAGTAGATGGCGATCGAGCCGTCCGACTTGAGGTGGACCTGAGCCCGCTCACCATCGTACTTGTACTCGCAGGTGAACGCCGAGCCGCCGAACCGCTCAAAGACCTCCGAAATGCCCTTGGTGGGGAAGGCGAGCATGGGCCGAATAGGAATGCCGGGCCGCAGGTAGCAGTGGTCGTGCAGCGTGCGGAGGCCGGTCGTCCGCAGCGACTCGAGAATGACCTTCATCCACGGCAGCTCGCAGTAGACCTCCTTGACAATGCGGACGGCCTCGTCTAGCTCGGCCTGGAGTTGCGGGAGCTTGAGCTTGGGCTTGATCTGTGTGTACGCGTCGAGAACCTGGCCGTCGTCACCAATGGCCGGCCGGGTGAAGAACGCGGCATGGGCAAGTGCCGCAAGGACCGAGGCTTCGGCGAGGCCAATGCGGAGCTTGCCCTGGCACGAGCGGACGAGGTAGCGCGCCTCGGAGCCCTCGCCGGCGACGAGCAGCGACTTGATGCGGTCCTTCTTGCGGTTCATCGACGACTGGCCTTTTTCGAGCGCAATGCCCTTGAGCGTCTTGAAGACTTTGCGGACGGTGAGCGGCTTGGGCTTAAACATGGTCTGCTGCATGCCGCGCGAGTCCTCGGCGATCTCGCCGAGGTCGCCTGTCTCGGCGTACTCGGCCTTGAGCCACTTGAGCGTCCGCCCGGTCGCCTCGCAGATGGCCTTCATGATGACGGTGTCGCCGATGCCGAGCTCGATACCGGCAAACGACGGCGCGACCTGGTTAGTACAGAGGTAGACGACCTCGAGCAGGTCATCCGGCGTGAGGGCAATGACCGACCGCAAGAGCCGGCACAGGTGGGCAATGATCTCGATCCGCTTGGTTGTCGCCTCGATCTTTTCAAACGTCGCTGCGAGCGCCAAGTACGGCACCGGCTCCCCGGCCTTCCACCCCGCGTCCGCGATTGGATCATACGTCGCGCCCTTGTACGCCTCGGCCATGTTGGTTGCTACCGGCTCGTCGTCGCCTTCGGGCGCCGGCCGGTCTGCAGAGAAAACTGTGAGCTGCTCGCGAGTAAACGCAACGTTGGTTGCCTGCGATGTCGACGGCGATGCAGATGCTGCCGACGAAGGCGCGGCCTTGATCTCGGTCTTGATCTCGGTCTTGATCTCGGTCTTGATCTCGGTCTTGATCTCGGCCTTGGCGGCTAGCATGGTGATGTCAGCAGTCGTGGTGACAAGAGCGACGGCGTCCTTGATGCTCCCCTCGCTTCCGCCCTTGGCCAGAGCGTCCTGGCCATTGTCGGCCTCGTCGTCCGACTCGGAGTCTGAGAGCACTTTGCGCTTCTTGGACGGGTGCCGACCTGGAGCACCGACATCCGCATCCGCGTCTGCATCTGTGTCTGGGGCTAGGTCTGTGTCGGCCTTGCGCTTGCGCGGCGAGGGCGAGGCTGGGCCGGCCGAGGGGCCCGCCTTGGCGGCGGGTGTAGAATCATGCGGCAGGCCGGGCGAGGGCGGGGCGGGGGCGTTGCGAAGGCCACGGGAAGGGGAAGCGTCCGCCGCAGCAGCCAAGGGTGATGTCGAGGACGCGGGTGCCACGTCCATGGGAGTCGGGGCGCCAAAGAACGACGCAATGGACCGTTGCATGGCGGAGTTGCGTGTGCGTGCGTGCGGAGTGACTCGTCGGCGGCAGGGGGAGGGGCGGGGGGGGGGGGGGGGGGGGGGCAGCCGGAAGTCGAGCTGGACAGCAGCTCTACTGATGATCAAACGCTTGCCCGCATCGGAGGTGTTTGGGTAAGTTTACATTTGCGTCGCTGCCATTCCTTTTCTCGTCGACCTCTCGCATTTCATCCAAAGTCGACGTCCTTGAGGCTCTTCAGCACTTCGAGCATGTCTCGTGACGATGGGCGGGCGGTGTGATCCATGTCCCAACAGCGGGAAATGATGGACCGGAGCATGGGCGAGCGGATGATCGACGAGTCGATGTCCGGCCGCGATCCGGTCCGGATCTTAAAGCAGATCTCCAGCGGCGTGCCCTTAAAGGCGGACCGACTGGTGACGAGCTCAAAAAGGATGGTGCCGATGACAAACATGTCAGCGGCAGGCGAGTTCGGAAGGTGGGTCATAGCTTCGGGCGAGATGTAGACGGTGGCGGGCGCGGCGGTGAGCGTGCCCTGACAGCGAGCGACCGATGCGAGGCCAAAGTCGATGGCGTACAGATGCCAGTTAGTTCCGGAGCGTTCGACGCCAAAGTTGGACGGGCGGACGTCGCCGTGTCCTCTCGGCAAACACTCGTGGACGTCGTTCACAGCATCGGCAAGCCCGATGGCAAGCGAGCGGACAACACCAGGGTCACCTACTCCGCGCTGCGGCCGTGAGGCCATGACGTCGGCGAGCGAGCCGTGCGCAAAGTACGGGACGATGAATGCCAGCGAGCCGCGCTCGACGCAGACCGCTAGCGGTCCGCGAGCGTGCGGCGTTGAAGCCTTGGCGGCGGTGGCGACGGCGAGCACAAAGTCGACAAGCTGCTGCGGTGGCAGCGCTTGCCGCACAAGCGTCTTGAGTACAACCGGTGCGTTGCCGAGCGGTGGATAGACAACGGTGCGCGCAAGCCCGAGCGAGCCAATCCGAGTCGAGCCAGCTTGCTGCTCCAGCCTTCGGAGAGTGATGCCGGTGAAGAGGGCGAGCGGCTGGCGCGAGGGCACCGACGACTCGCCAGCAGCCGGAGAGATGGTCGAGTTGGAGGGAAGAAACGGCGCAGCCTGCGCAAAGTCAGCCAGAGCCGCGACATTGCCCACGCTGTTGTCGCCGTCTTCCAAGGACGGTGGCGAAGAGCCACCCGCGACAGGTTTGGAGATGGGTAAGCCGTCGAGCCTGACAACCTCGTCGGGCCGCATGATCTGTAAGAGACCTTCGATTCGGCATTCGAGCGGCATTTCCAGGACCTCAATCGCAAGGGAATGGTTGGCTGAGTGGATGAGGTCGGCCATGGACGATGACGCTACGAGGCCGGCGGAAGCCTCGCCTGTGGCGGCAGAATTTGCCCAGTACGTGACCGCTGGTGTGAGAGGAGGCTGCAGCTCCCCGCACCGCATCTGGCCAAAGAGCGCAAGCCATATGAGCTCGAGCTCATCCATGACAGGGCCTTTCAGCATCGGATTGCAGGGTCCCACACTTGGCTCGGTCTCGAGCTCACCGTGAACAATGAGCGTGGCGATGGGAAGCGCTCCTCGGTCGACGACTGTCACGCGTTTGAGCATGTCGAGGAGCTGAACCAAACCGTGGAGAGTGATAGTGACCCAGCCGAGACCCCAGGCAAGAACATGCCCACCGGCCTTACGGGCCATTTTGGGAAGGTGCGTGTGAAAGGCAGCGAGGGGCGCGCCGAGTGCGGCCGGCGAGCTGATCAAGGCGCGACGGACCAGCCGCACTTCGCAGTGCATGACGATGACATGCCCACTCGGCAGGGCGTCCTGACTCGGGTACACCACCGACTCGACCGAGTAGAGAGACTGGAGCTGGGCGACAGCGCTGTCAAAGCTCAGCCGGGCGTCTGGCTCTTGGGCCCACAGTCCCTCGATGACCGGGACAATGTCGACGAGTGACGGCGGGATGGCCGCCAGCGGTGGGCGGCGACCTTCGAGGGCATCGAGGGCCACGGCTAAGGGGTTTTCAGAAGGAAACAGGTCAGCCCGCGATGCCAGCTCCCAGAGCGTGATGCCGAGCGAGTACGCGTCCGAGGCCGATGTCATGCCAGGTGCACCCGAGAAGACAGTCTCGGGTGCAGCCCAGAGAAGGGTTCCAACATTGTACAACTCGTCATGGCCAGTGCTACCAAGGGCCAGCTCAAGCGGGGTGAGCGAGGAGACATGCGATGATGGAGCCGTGTTGAAGAAGCTGCCGTGCGACGACACGTCGTTCTCGGCCTCGGCTATTGGGCGAATTATGGTGGACATGCCAAAGTCACAGATCTTGGGAGTCCACGCGTTGTCGATGAGGACGTTGAGCGACTTGAGGTCGCCGTGGACGACGTCTGACGCCGCCAAGTAGGCCATGCCCATGGTGATGTTGTGAGCCCACTTGAGCACAATCAATGGATGCAGGAACAGCGAAGGATCGTGAAGGACTTGGTACATCGAGCCGCGATCCATGTACTCAGTCACGATTGCTGCAGGGTTAACGGTAATGCCCATGAAAATAACAATGTGCGGGTGGCGGAGGCGATGCAGGATGCGGGCCTCGTCGGCAAAGGCAGCGACGTCAAACACGATTGACGATCGCGGTTGCTTGACAGCCACATTGGCCGACCGCCACGTACCCTTCCACACCTCGCCAAACGAGCCCGAGCCAATATGAACTTCCAGATGGAGGCTTTCAGGCTCGATGATGAGGTCTGCACTCGAGTTAATCGAGTGGACCATGGTGCGCTTTCGGCGGAGAAAAACCAGAGCGAAAGCGAGGATCAAGGCGACAAAGCAAATGCCTCCTGCCGCAGCGCCAATCACCATGCCAACACTGACCGCGGCAGACGGGCGAGCGACGAGAGCATCGCTTGATGCGGTTATTACAAACGACGCAGAGACTTCAGGAGAACGGTGGAGGCCAAAGGCGACAGCAAAGGCCCGGACCACTATGGTTCCCTTGGCGGAGAGCACAAACCCCCCCGAATACTCAGCGGATGACAGGCGCGGCTCAGTTCCGTCAATGGTGTAGTAAATGGTGGCACCGGTGGTGGGCGTCGAGAGCGTGACTGTGACCGAGCCGGCAAATGAGCCTCCGCCCGGCTGGACGATCGGAGAGATAGTAAGCAGGTTAAGCAGTGCCTGGCGAGTGGCCTCGATGACCGGCAGCTTATCGTCGGCCATGGCACGCGTTTGATCCACTGACGTTGCACCGAGGTTGATCGCGTCAAGAAGAGCTCCCCATGCAATGGAGAGCTCGCTCGGGCCAAATGCCGAGCGCGAGACCTGCGGCGCTCGCTCGGACATGGCCGAGAGCAAGGTGACACCAAGCCGCGCGCGCGAAGAGGCAGCGAGAGAGGCAGCCGAGAGGCGAAGGGGGAACCCTGATTGAAGCGCAGGGAGCGTGATGTTGACGGCTGTCTCGCGCCGTGAGAGGAAGGCCAGAAAGTCCTTGGCCTCGGTCTTGTGCTGAGCGTTGCGAGGAATGGAGAGCGTGGTAAGAAGTGAGAGCGCGGCGTTGGTGGGCGTGTCGGAACCAGCACTACCGCGTGACCCATCATAGCGAGGGAATGCAAAAGCCTTGAGGTCAGTCGATGATACACCGGCACCGATGAGGACACCGGTGGCGGCGGAGATGCCGCAGTACATGGCAGCACGATTGTCTTTGAGCCAGCTCGAGTCAGGCATGAGGGTAAAGCCCGACTCGGGCGTGGGCGCAAAGTAGCCGGCCTCGAGCAGGCGGCCGTACTCGGTAAAGGTGTCCATAAGACGGTGATCCGTAAACGAGACGTTTCCCTCGAAAACGAGGTGAAGAACGCGTTGCCGTGCATCCGGATTGCAAGGTAGTCAAAGACAGCAGAGGCCGGGAACCAGGAAAAGTCCGTGGCAAGGCAAGCAGTGCCATCGCTCGAGACAGCGGCACAGAGCTGGAGGAACTCGGACCACGAGCGCGGCGCTGAGAGGCCACGCGCCGCAAAGAACGATTCGCGGTAGACGCAGAATTGCGACTCGGCGACGAGTGGGACAGCATACATGACACCGTCCGCACCGCGACATGCCCGGATGGCCGGCTGCGGGAGGTCCGAGCCTAGATCCGATGCTGCCCACAGGTCGTCGAGCGGCTCATAGTGGTCGCCATCAAAGATGGTGTACCCGCCACCGCGCGGGTACCACGGCAGAACATCTGCAGAGATGGGTGACTTGACCCAGTGGGCGTAGTCATCGATGGTGGTAGGCATGGGATGCGGAAAGTAGTCGATGTCGAACGAAGCATTTGCACTTGCTGCATACGCACCCGACACTGCGCGCAGTGTACGGTCTGAGCCGGAGCCAACGGGGTAGACCGAATGAATAGAGACACGCGGCCGAAGAGCGCAGTATGTGTTGCTGGCCGGGATTGCCCAGACACCTGCCACAGCCACGACAAGAAGCATGAAGACAGCGGAAGACGGGCGCATACCGTGATATGGAATGGTGCAGGAGCTTGTGTGTGTGTGTGTGTGTGTGATAGGCGGGGTTGGGGCAATTGTGAGGAGTGTTGGCGATGTACGGGGCAAGGGTGGGGGGGGGGGGGGGGAAGGGGGGCTGCGGGAGTGAGGAACAGCGTGAACGTTTGCCGCAGGTGACAGGTAGGTGACAGACGAGTGGCTCGGCTGGCTTTTCTGATTCACAGCTTGCGGTCTGCAGTGAGACGAAGAGAGGGGAGGGGGAAAGGGGGGAAGGGGGGGGAGGAGAGGCTATGTGGATACTTGGTACATGTGCATGTGGCTTCTGTGATCGCGTCTGTGGTCGGTCCCATGCACCGGGCTCTGCGCGTCTCGGTCGTTCGTAACCCATCAAAAGTGTCATGCCATTGCCGAGTCGCCGTCTGCTGTGGCCATGGTGCGACCGGCGGCAGCGAGGAGGCGAGGTGAGGGTGCAGGAGGCGTGGGCGCTGGCGTGGGGGTGGGACAAAGCCACTGCTCGTTGTTTTGCGCGGAGCAGCAAGTGCGACTGTCAACATGAAGCTCAAGTACGGAGCAGCGATCCTGATAGGGCTGAGCCTGCTGGAGTTGCTGGCGCAGGGCGGGGCGTTTGTGGGTGAGGGCGCAGAGCGCGGGTGGGCGACCGACGGGCAATCGGTGCGCGGATACTCGGTGCGGACATCAACGTTTGATCTCGTGTGCTTGGCGGTAGTCCGGTGTGTGGGCACTGGCTTACTGCTTGCGGCGTCGTACCGTGCGGTCTTTGGCTCGCCACTGCTGGGCTTGTTCAACTTTGCCGCCCTTGTCTTTACAGTGGTCAAGGCTGTGGTCGTGCTCCGGGCTGACGAGGCGTCGTATCCTGCATCGGCCGAGCTCACCCACGCCATGGTCATTGCTGCCCTAGCTTTTGCGCTCACGCAAGTCCTCGCCTTTTTCGTGGTTCGCGCAGACACGCGCGATGCGTATCTGAGGCTGGCGGCGGAGAGGCGTGGCGGGTACCTTGGGATTAACGATGCTGCCGGCGACGTGGCCGGCGGCGGGATCAAGGCTGGCGGCAGCAGCGTCAGTCTGGACAAGCTCCCGCCAAGCGCGACGCTGCCGCGGCTCATTTCGCTCGCCGGACCGGAGAAGGGCATTATTGCGGTTGGCCTGGTGGCGCTACTGGTGGCGGCGGCGGCGGCGCTGGCCATTCCGATGTACTTTGGCAAGATCATCTCGGCCGTCTCAGACGACCGAACAGCGTCTGACACACATGCCGGCGAGGATAAGCTCGCCACATCGGTCCTCCAGCTCATTGTTGTTTTTGTTCTGGGCTCTCTTGGCTCTTTTGTCCGCGGCTGGATGTTCACGCTTGCAGGGCAGCGCGTGGTGGCACGACTGCGAACGCGGCTGTACGCGTCGATTGTGGCGCAAGAGATCGGGTTCTTTGACGCCAATCGGACGGGCGAGCTCATCAACAGGCTCTCGTCAGACACGCAGGTCCTGCAGAACGCGGTCACCATCAACATCTCGATGTTTGCCCGGACGCTAGTCACCATTCTCGGTGGAGTGGCCATCCTTTTCGTCGTCTCATGGCGGCTGACGCTTGTCATGCTCTCTGTCGTTCCGGTCATCTCTATCGCTACCGTCATCTACGGGCGGATGCTGCGCGGGTTGCGCAAGGGATTTCAGGACGCGCTGGCGACAGCCGGCACCACGGCGGAAGAGTCGATTGCACAGATCCGGACGGTCCGCTCGTTCTCCAACGAGTCGCACGAAGTGGCACGCTACACTGGCGACATTCAGGCTTCATACGCCATCGGTAAGAGAATTGCGCTGACGTACGGGTCGTTCCTCGGCGGCGTCACCCTCGCCGCCGAACTCGGCATTGTGCTCGTTCTGTGGTACGGCGGCCGGCTTGTGCTCCACGGCTCGATGACTGCGGGCTCGCTCACGGCCTTTCTCCTCTACACCCTCACCGTGGGTATCAATCTCGCGGCGCTGGCCTCACTGTGGACGACGGTCATGCAGGCGCTTGGTGCATCGGAGCGGATCTTTGCGCTCCTCGACCGCAAGCCGCTGCTGCCGCCAACGCAGCCGGGCGTCGGTGTTTCACTGCCAGAGCTTGCGGGCGCCATCGAGCTCCGCGACGTGAGCTTTTCTTATCCGACCCGGCCGGACACGGTTGTTCTCGACTCGGTCTCGCTCACCATCCAGCCGGGCTTTGTCACCGCGCTTGTTGGCCCATCGGGCTCGGGCAAGTCGACGATCATGGCCCTCATTGAGCGGTTCTACTCGCCCTCCTCGGGCACCATCATCATCGACGGCGTCCCGCTCGACGAGCTTGATCTCGCCTGGCTCCGGGGGAACATGGCCATGGTCTCGCAAGAGCCGGTACTCTTTGCCACCTCGATTGCCGAGAATATTGCGTACGCCAAGCCCGAGGCCTCGTTTGCGGAGATTGTGGAAGCCGCCAAACGGGCCAACGCCCACGAGTTTATCACCCGGTGTGAGGGTGGATATGATGCGCTGGTCGGCGAGCGTGGTGTGCGGCTTTCCGGTGGCGAGAAGCAGCGCATCGCCATTGCCCGGGCGCTGCTGATCAACCCATCGATCCTGCTCCTCGACGAGGCGACGTCGGCGCTCGACGCCGAGTCGGAGTTTCTTGTCCAGCAAGCCATCGATAACCTCATGGAGGGTCGGACTGCACTCATCATCGCCCATCGCCTCTCGACGGTTCGTCAGGCCCACTTGGTGGTGGTTGTCGAGGACGGGCGCATCGCCGAGGCTGGAAGCCACGACGAACTCATTGCGCGCGGCGGCACGTACTCGAAGCTTGTCGACCGCCAGTTGCAGGCGTGACGGAGGTTGGCGCCGGGAATGCTCCGAACAACACCGAACAGTACCGACACGTCGCATGTGGCATGTCTGATCGCCTGGCAGGTGTGGCTCGTTTTTTATGCGCTCACCCGCGCTGCCACAGTCAAACACGACACGCTTCTCTGTCGTGTCGCTATGGACCGGTTCAATGGGTGGGTAGAGCCGTGGCGGGTGGCGCGGCTCAAGACAGGCCTCCTTGCCTGGGTAAATAGCGCACTTGGAGACGCACATGTGGTACGCTTAGGTCATGTGTGTGCGTGTTAGTGTGTGTGTGTGTGCGGAATGGCGGTGGTTCCCGGCTTGCGCTTTGCTGGCGCCCGGCGTTGTTCGGCAAGCCACCACTTGGTGTTGTCGGATGGGCGCCAAGCTGACAAACATTCTACGCGGCGTATTTGGCGCGTATGTACAGAGGGTGGGAGAGGATGCACACGGCCCAGACTTACCCGTTGTGGATAATGCGTGCGCTGTGTATGGGAGGGGGCGTGCAGCCGGTGGAAGAGCTCCAAGAACAGCTCACTGTCGTGCTTCCCGCGCTCACGTCAATGGTGCTGGACAAGGCTGTGGTCCGCGAGCCCGGGTGGCCCGGCACGAACGACCCTGTGGCATGCACCGCCGCTTGCCTTGCGCTGCTCAAAGACGGCGGGTTGAGACTTGGGTGTACACTCGCCGACTTGCTAGATCTGGACAAAGGCGAGCGCGGCATCATGTTCTTGTGGGATCTGGCGCTCCGCGCGGCGCAGGGCCGGCGGCGGATGCCCGGGCTTTGTCAAGAGTCGAGCCCGGCGGTGTCTAGCCCACGGCGGGCAGGCAAGGCCAAGTCGGAGCTTCTAGCGCAAGTTCGCGAGGTCATCGGCGAGCGCGGCACGTGCGCCGGCGCCGATGGCAAGCCGCTGCTCAACTTTACCACCGACTGGGCCGACGGCACGGTACTCCACAGCCTCCTTGCGGCGCTTGTGCCGCGGGCAAGCTGGCCGTCCAAGGGCCTTGCTGCGGTGGCCCACAAGGCCGAGGCATTGCTCAGCGTTCCGGCCGCCATTTTCGAGCCCGAGGCGTTTGTGGACCAGCCGGACGAGTGCACGCTGATGTTGTACGTCAGCGAGGTGCTCGGCCTGGCGCAGAGCGTGCAGGGCGCGCTGGGGCTGCTGTGCTCGTCACGGCTGCTCGCGGCGCTGCCGCCGTTGGAGCAGTGGGTGTCGGCCAACGGCGAGTCCAGTGACGCCGACCCTGTTGCATGCGAACTGGCCTCGCTCCGCAAAGAGGTTAGTGAAGCGCGAGCCGAGGCCGATGCGGCGCACGCGCGGGCCGACGAGCTTGCGGCTGCTAATCGGAGGCTCGAGCTCGAGCTCTACGACATCGACGCCGAGCAGGCGCCGCTGCAGACCAAAGTTGACGAGCTGCAGACCAAGCTCGACGCTGCACGCGCTGAGTGCGAGAGCCTCGCTGCGCGCCTGAGCGAGGCCCAGGCTCAGCAAGCCCAGGCCCAGGTCAGCGCACGGGCGTTTGTGGCCGAGGTCAAGGCCGAGCGTGCCGAGGCCGAGGCCAAGCTGCGGTCGGCACTGGAGCGGTCCCAAGGTCTTGCCAAGCGGTTCAAGATTGTGCAGAAAAAGCTGCAGGTTGCCGCCGCCGACGACGACCGCAACGACTGTGGGGTTGCTGCGCCGACCGGGCGACTCACGCTCATGTTTACCGACATCCAGGGCTCAACTGCGCTGTGGGAGTCAGACGCCGAGGTGATGGCTGCCGCGCTGGCGGTTCACAACAACGTTGTCCGCGAAGGCATTTCGCGGTACGCGGGCTACGAGGTCAAGACTGAAGGCGACGCATTTATGATTGCGTTCCGCTCGGCCATGGATGCCATTGCGTGTGCAGTCTTTTTGCAGAGCGCGCTGCTGCGTGCGGCCTGGCCGGAGGCGCTGCTCGATGCCAGCCGTCCGCTGACGCGACCGGAGCATGCCGCGTCCGGTGAGCTCATCTGGCGCGGCTTGCGTGTGCGGATGGGAATTCATTTGGGTACGCCACAGTCGCGGCTTGATCCAGTCACTGGTCGCATGGACTACTTTGGCCCAATGGTCAACCGTGCGGCCCGAGTCGAGGGCCTCGCGTCTGGCGGCCAGATTGTGGTCTCGGACGCGGTCCAAGCCGAGATTGCTCCGTGCCTCGCAGGCTCGTCAGCAGCGAATACGCCTGTGGTGGCGGCGCTCGGCTCGTTTGAGCTCAAGGGCATCGCCACCAAGATGGCTATGTACTCGGTGACGTCGCCCGAGCACATGGAGCGGACGTTTGAGACCGACAAGGGCCACCACCGAGTGCCGTTCCAGTTTGCACCCGAAGGCGAGCGCGCCGACGGCACAGCGCTCGACCGCGAGCTCGCTTTCATGAGCCATGAGAATACCCAGCTGTTGAGTGATCTCGCGAACCTCGAGTCAGAGTTGGTGGCGTCCGAGACTGCTACCATCGACCTTGTCTCGCGGTTTGAGGCGCAGCAGTCGATGGTCGGCGCCGACGAGGCGGTGCGGATGCGAAACGAGCTTGCGCGGCTGTCGGCGGCCGCCGTCGAGACTGCCGGCCTTCTCGAGAGCATGCAGACTCGTGCCCGCGAGGTTGCCGACCTCGCTACCAACCTGGAGGAGCAAATGGCCGTCTTTCGCGAGCACCACGCTCGCGGTGGACACGGGTGCGCGACGAGCAACGCCAATGCTTACCTCGCGGCCCGTCGCGAAATCGACGCCGAGTCGATTCAGAAGCTCAAGGCCAAAGTCACTCGCCTCAAGGCGCGCCTGCAGCAGGAAGCAAATGCCAAGCGGGCGCTCCGCCGGTACATGCAGCATGTGCTCAAAACGGGAAATCTGGACGATGGCGTTCGCTCCGACCTCGTCTCGGCGCTGGCAAGTCTGGAGGCCGGCGAGCAAGGTGCAGGCACAAGCTCAGGCGGAGCTTTGCCGACCCGCGCACGCCGCGACTCGTCGGGCACCCACTCGCATCCGCGGCTGATGCTCTCGTCATCGACACCGACATTGCCGTCGCCGCGTCTTCTGCAGCCAGCCACCGCGTCCGAGGGCAACCTTCTTGCGCCGCCGGTCGCCATGGTCTTGCCGACCCGCGACCGCAAGAGGTCGCTCGATCCGCTGCGCTCCCGCTCGGGCTCGTCACGGTCATCGTCGCCGTCAGGCTCACTCTCGCGTTCGACCTCGCGCTCGCAGTCACGGTCGCGCTCGCGCTCGCCGCACGTCCTCTCTGAATCGGGCGAGGTGGCTGCGCCCGAGCCCGAGCGTGCACCAACGCTGCCCCGCTTCGGCACCGGCCACGTCGCTCACCGGCGCTCGCCGGTGGCATCACTCGGTCTGCGACGACCAAGGCGCTGCGGACGTATGGCGCTCGTCGCGGCGCAGGCCTAAAGCGGCTCTCGCACAAGCAGCGCGAGGTCGAAGCTGCCTATGACTTTGTTGTCGATGGGCGCGACGATCCGCAGCTGGGTGCAGGAAAGCGGAGCAAAGCCAAGGCCAAGGATAAGAGCAAGGCCAAGGCTAGGTCCAAGTCCAGGTCCAAGTCCAGGTCCAAGTCCAACGCCAGGCCCAAAGCCAAGGCCAAGCACAGGAGCAAGGAACGTGAGCGCGGGCTCCAGCGAGACGGCGAGCGCGTGTGTGGTCGAGACCGGGCTGGCTCCACCCGCTCGCGCTCTCGAGCCGACACCTCGCGACCAGCTCCAGGCATGGTGCGTACGATCGGGTAGAGGAGGGGAGGGGGGGGGGGGGGTTGCATGAACAGTTAACGCCCTATCCCGAGCAAATGGCAAATCAAGCGTTGAGGGGTGATGACGTAGGCATCACGTTGGCGCAGGCAGCGGCAAATGAAGCGAGCGCGCGACCAGGTGGTGGCGAGCAGGACAGAGCACACTCGACTCAACCCCAGCAGATCGACCCCAGTAGTGGCAAGAGACCCAAAGGTCGACAAGGCAAGACAAAGCTGAGTGAGTTGCAGAGTATGCAGGGCATCATGGGGTTGGATATGGAGCAGATGCTGGTGGCGGTAGGCCCGGCGCAGGTGGCGTGGGCGGAGACAGTCGAGGTGGTGGCGGGCATGACGTGGAGTGACGTGCTCTGGGCATGTGCATACGTTGGACATTGCATCTTCACCTGCACTCGGGTACATCGGGCCGAGGTGGCACTGCCGGCACGGACCCGGGTCTGGGCCTACTTGCTCGCCGTGGTGGCGTGCTCGGCCGGGTCGACGGTGGCGGCGCTGGCGAGCATCACGCCGACGGCCTCGCTCAGCTACCTCACGCAGCCACACGCCATGCTTGTGCCGATTGTGCTCTGGGCGCTGACGTATGAGACGCCGCTGCTGCTGCGGGCGTACGGCTGGTGGCCGGTGCGGCTGGCGGTAGTCATCGGCCAGTGTGCTTACAAGGCCCGCGGCGCCATTGCCTTCCAAGACAAGCTCTACGCCACGCTGACGAGCGACCCGAGCAGTATGCCTGCTTACGCGCGGCCGATACCATCGGTGTGGTATGCGCCGGGCGTGATCATGCCATGCGTGGCCATGGCGGTCGCCACGGGCCTCACCATGCGCGCTGTCGCCTACGTTGCCTCTGTCTCGCACAACGTCCGGCTGCCCGGCCGGGCGGTCATGGGCTCGCGGTCGATGTACTCGTCGATGGTGGGTCTTGCGGTGGCGTACGCCCTTCGGCGATGGACACAGGCGCCAGTCGAGGCTGTGCGTCTCCTTGCCGGCCTGGTCTTTGCCGAGCAGGTCGCTCGCGCCGAGGGCGTGTGGTCTGGCGCCATCCCGCCGCCGGCCCCGCCGCTCGAGGTCCGCAGCGGAAGCCCACCGTCGGCCGCCCTCGTCGACGCCCGCGAGCGCCGCCGGAGCCGGACCCGGGCCAGGACCCAGCGGTCGGCGGCCAAGTCGACGGCAACTGCAAGTGGCGACGCCGCACGCTCGTTGAGGCCGCGGACACGTCGGAGTAAGACAAAGGCAGCGTAAAGGCAATTGTTATTGCATGAGGCGGGTAGCGGGGGGGAGCTTCGCGCGATGCCGGCAGGGCTCTGGGCAGCCAGGGCCCGGGCGGGAAGGCCAGCCCGACCTATGCTGGTCGGGCTGGCGGAGCGAGAGGAGGCTCGGGGGGAAGGCAGGCGGCGATGCGGCAGATGCAGCGACAACAAGTAGCATATGCACCGAGCATAACTATGCCGAGTGCTCATCATGGAAGTCGTTGGCCTCCATCTTGGACAGCTTGCGCTCGTCGCGCTTGAGCGAGCAGTAGCCGGCCAGGCACACAATGCCGGCCACGCCTACGCAGGCCACGATGGCGAGACCGAGGCCGATGGCGGGGTCATCTGCACAGGAGTGTGTGGTTGATGACACCATTATCGTTCGGTTCGCACAATCGTTCGCGCAGTCGTTCGAGGAATCGTTCGGTTCACACATTCGCACAATCGTTCGATCATGCACATTGTTTGTTGTTCGTTCATCGGATCAGTCATCCATTCGTTCGTTCATTAGTCATTCGGTGGTGTTTTTTGCGGGAGCACAGGGCCAGGCGCCAGGGCGAACGGGGGGGGGGATAACAGAGGTGGAGGGGCCCATTTGGTGGAGGTGGTGTGGAGAGCAGAAAGAGAGGGTTGCACATGTGCGGCTGTGGAGGGTGGTCAATCCTGTGTAGGCAGTGTGGCTTTGGCAGGACCCAGTCTCTGCTACCCCCCCCCCCCCCCCCCCCCCCCAGCTGCAGTGGTTGGTAGCCGCTGTGTTCGGTGGTCGGACCCACGCTGGCAAAGGGCGGCAGGGGAGGGCGAGGCGGGGGAGAGGAGTAGGGGGGGAGGGGGGCAGTGGCATGCACTCCCACTAGCGTACCGTTGTCCACCGTCTCGCTCTGTGTGTTGGTCATGGGTGGCGGCGGCGGCGACTGCGCCAGGCATGCCGCAATGAGGGCCAGAACAACCGCGAGTGTGGCAAGGGTCGACATGGCGGCAGGAGAGCGGTGGCCGACCCGTCGGCCCGCCCGTCGGCCCGCCCGTCGGCCCGTCGGCCACCCGTCGGCCACCCGTCGGCCACCCGTCGACAGCTCGCCGGTTGCTCGGCCACTGTGGCTCGACAGCAACACAACATACGTTGGTCATCGACGCGACTTTATAGCACTCACAAACTCCCAGCGGGAGCCTCCCGCCCTCGTGCCTTGTACCAAACAAGCACAATGGTGAGAGCGACTACCACCAGGCAGATCGCGATGCCGACGCCAAGTCCGGCGTTGCGCCGCTGGAGCGATGACTCGGCTGTCGACGCCGCCTCGAGCGCAGCAGAGTCGCCATTGCTGCCAGAGCTGACAACCACGTATCCGGATCGGCTGCTACTAAATTGGTTGCCGCTTCCGATCAGAGCTCCGATGCTGCCGCCACGTGCCCACACTGTGTTGGTCGCCCCAGTGCCGGTAAAGAGGCTCCACGTCGCGTTGCCGTACACTGCGGCCCAGACTTGGTCGAGGGAGCCGACGCTCAGCAGCACCCGGCGCTCGCGCCCTCCAAGCTCACCGAGACCCAGTTCAGTAAAGATGCTGTCGACTTGCGCCACGTTGCCGCGCGCCGCATCGCTTCCGGGCACCTCGTCGCACGAGTCGTCGCCGGTCTTGCACAGCGGTGTGATGCCCGCCACATTGATGCCCAGCTCCGACGCTCGCACAAGCACCGCCCGCACACCCTCGAGTACCGTGCTCCACCGCACCTCCTCCGGCCGCAGGTTCGCTGCCACGTACGCCCCGCTCACTCGCACCGGCGGCCATCCGATAGCAATCGTCCCATCATAGTTGGGCGTCTTGCCCGAACTGCCGAGCAGGTCCGACTCGCCCTGCTCTGCATGCTTCTCCTCAACTTCTCTGGCAAGCACCGCAGCAATTTCTGCAAACGTGCCAAAGTACGCATCGCAGTCGTCCGCGCCGATGTCCATCGCATCAAACTTGATCACCTCGACGACGCCGTCAGACGCCGACGAGACCAAGACCACCGCCACACCGGGCACAAGCTGTTGCAGCTCGGCAGCATCCGCGTCATTCACACAGACACGCGTTGCATTGACCGCAAGATCGGCTGCGCTGCCGCGACACGCTCCGCCAAAGCATCGCGCCAGGATCGTCGTTCCGTGATGGGCCAGCGGCGCGGTCATTCGCGCCAGGCTTACCGAGCCGGGTAAAGTCGATGCGTTCGCCACTACCACGTCCGGCACCTCGCCCGCAAATTCAGGAAACGGTACAAACTGCACCGCTGATGGATCTTGCAGTACCGCCGCCGCCACGGCGGCGCAAAACCGCACCCCAGCTATGTCAATTTCGCCTCGGAACGACGCCAGCTCCGGCATCGTCGCCAGTCCACACCGGATGTGTCCGCGCGCCACCACGCGCGCGACTCCAAAGCCGTCACTCACCCCGTTTGCCGGCACGTGTCCGTCCATCGCAGCAAATGTCGAAGCGGTCACTGTTCCGTTGACCGGAGCTTGGGTCAGCGACGCGCGTCCAAGCCCGCCGACCGAGCTCGCCCCTCTCGCCGCGCTGACGTTAACCACGGCCTGGGTGCTGCCGCCCGCAATCATGCCGGCCAGAAAGACAGCCACCAAGGCAACTAGGATCACCACCAGTGCCCCCACACGGCTTGTCTTCTTGCTCTTGTCTGTAGTGTCGCCGCGAACGCTCTCAACAGCGGCGCGCGGCGGCGGCGGCGGCCTCTGCAGAGACTCGCTGCCGACTATCGCATCCGACCCGGCCGCCACAACGCCAAGAAGCAGCACACCATCGCGATTTCCACCCCACGAATCGAGGGCAATCGACTGCTCGCTGGCGCCTGCCTTGTGAGTTGGCAAAGAGCGCAGTCGTGAGACAAGCGAAGATGACGATGATGACGACGAAGACGATGACGACGACGAAGACGACAGAGTGGCTGCAGATGTAGGTACGCCGACCTCAACCGCACCCGCCGCTGGAGGCGGACGCTGCGTATCGATAGCGTCGAGCGCAGCATCCACTTGTGAGACCACCGCAGCCGCTGTCACGCCATCCATGGGCGTCCAATCGGTGTGCAGCGACATGAGCCACGCCAGTGCCTTGAGCGGTGCCGTTTGCGCGGCGGCTACCGCAGCAGCGGCATCTGGCCCTCCGCCATGCGCTCTGCCGTACATGGCAATGAGTGCAAACGCCGGTGCGCGCCGCAGCCGCAGTGCCTCTTCGCCGGCGTGCGCCAGCAGAGAAAGTTGGTCGTCGTCAGGCGGCTGCAAGTTGCACGCCAGCGCAAGCAGACATGCCAAGACCCGCGGATGATGGAGCGCCTCGGAAAGAACCGAGACGCCCATCTTGGCACCCACCGCCGCCAACGCTGCCCATCCGTTCCCGACAATCGCCCGCGATGCCACTGCCCACGCTGCATCGTCCTCGCCGACTCGGAGCAGCGTGATGCAGAGGTCGGCTGTAGCCCAGAGCGGAAGATCAGCCGGCACGCCCGCACTCAGCATGTTCTCCAGAGCAGTCCGGACGCCCGCGGCGCCCGGAGCCTGCCCGACGAGCAGATGCAGATGGCCCAGCCTCAGCCCGTTGTAAAAGTCAAAGCTCTCGTTTGGCCCATAGCTGCTGTTCCGGCTTGCCGAGTGCTTGCCCGACAGCGTCTTGCGCCGGGTCCGATCATGGCTGGAAGATTGGTCCTGGTCCCTGCCGCGACGCTCGCGGTCGCCTTCGGACGACGATGACGACGACCGCGAGTCATGCCGCCGCTTGTGGCCGCCGCCGTTCCCGCGTCCCGCCGAGTCCGCAAAGACAGCGAGGCTGAACGGGTTCGAGACGGTGACAACCCGCTCGCCGCCTGCAGTGTGCTCGATTGAGAGGCTGACAGGCAAGCTTGCCAAAAGGAGAGGCAGCCCGTCGTTCTCAAGTGGTACAGCATGAGTGGCAAGCCTATCAACTTGTTGGACCACTGGTTCCGAGGTGAGAAGAACAATGCCATCGAGCGTCTGGTTGCGAAAGGTGACCGAGGCCGTCACACTGTGGGTGGCCAGTGCCACGCGGTAGCTTCCGATCGACAGCGAGGTCTGTGTCACATCGCGCGGCGCAATACCAGACATGGTTGCCGAAACATGCAGCGGCGCGCCGCCGGCGGGCCAGCCCACCACCGCTGTCCGGCTGCTATTGAGGGCACATGCCATCGGGTGAAGGAGCTGGAGTGAGAGTACAGCGGGCGGCCTCACCGGTTGGGCCAGTGCAAAGGCAGGCACAAGATCACCCAGCAGCGCGCGCTCGTCCGGCGTCGCCGTCGGTGAGAGGTACAGTGACTTGGCGGTCGACGCACTCCACTCCATGCTTCCGATGGGATCCATGTCAGAAACAATGGCGTCGAGATCGAGGTCAAACCCGAGTCCATCGAGCAGGCCAGGGGTGAGTGACGGCGTCTCAACCTTGCTTCGGATTGCCAGCGAGACACGTGAGCCGTCAAAGTCAACCAAGCCCACCGCAGAGAGCGATGCTGCTGACACCCACTCGCCAAACGTGTCTTTGAATACCGAGGTGGCCTCCAGATCGATGTCAGCGGGGTCGATGCCGGCAGGCCGCGCCAGCGCCGCTGTCAGAACCTGCAGGCTGTGTACGGCCTTCAAATCGCCCGCCCAAACGTGCCAGGTCGGATTCGAGGCAGTCTGGCCATCAACAGCCACGAGAACCCGATGCGGAGGCGTCGACGACGTGGCATCGCCCAACCCCGATGGCCCAGTGAGCCCATCCCCCGTCATCGCCAACCGGCTCGGCTCGCCCGACGCTGCCCATCGCGAGGCCCGGACCGAGTTGGGAAAGACGGCGAACGGCTCGGATCGGGCCACCAGCCGAGCGCCCGGTGCAATAAAGGCATCGTACTCGAGCACAACGCCATCGAGGACGGCCGACGATGCGAGCTCGAGAGCGGCACGAGCTGCGCGCATGTCGATGGAGCCTTTAGATAGGATGATCACTCCGCCGGTAACCTTGACACGCACGTTGACAATGGGAATGCGAGTGGGACGATGGCTACCACCCACCACGCTGCTGAGAGACCCACCATCAGCAACCATGTCTGGGTCAACAGCCACGCCAAGCGGCAGATCAGCACTTGCCCGCCACCGCGTGGCCACCACGCAGCCGCGGGCCGTCGTTCCCGCGACACCAGCCGTAACCTGGCGGTATGGGTGACGACCATAGCTACGTGTTCCACAGCCGAGCAGCGATACGGTCCTGTGGTTATGGAGTGGAGCGTTGGTATGGTGAGGGTGGATGTGCTGGCATCGGTGGTCTCTTTCATGTCCTTCCCGCCACCCGCCCCCTCTCCTCTCCGCCTGAGCACGTTTGCTCATAAGCCTCGCCCCGTTGCCAAACTGCTCATTGGTGCTCACGGGCGCATGGCTGGCCGGCGACCACAAAACGGAGCACGGCGAAATGATGTGTCGACCGTGCGACTGCCATCGCCACGCTCACTACCAACAGCAACAGCAATAACAACAAGACCAGCAACGCTTATCATGACTCGGTTTGGATCTCGTATGGGCTGGATGATCGTGGCGGCTGCGGTTGTCGTCGCTGTGCTCGCGGCCAACGCCAGAGTCGTTTACGCAGACCGGGAGATCTCGTGGGAGCTGGAGGCGCAACAGGCAAAGTGGAAGTCGGAGCTTCGCAACACCGAGCCATCGTCGTGCCCGCCGGGTGACGACGACTGCGAGGGTCCGGAGGGATCGGTCAAGTTCCTGGTAGATGCGTCGGGCGAGCTCAAGATCGAATATGAGTTTGAGACCGAGACCGGGGTGCTGGAGACCGAGACGCAGATCCGGTTCCGCCCACAGGAGCTTATCGAGTTTGTCGACACCGACGGCAACGGCAAGCTCTCATCCGGCGAGTGGCGGTACAACACGACGCTTAAGGACGACGGGTGGCGTGATCTGATGTGCGTGGCGCCGGCGGTCGGCGCGACAATCAAAAAGTACACCTGCGACGCGGTGCATACCACGCTGGATCTCACGTTCCGCTTCACGCTCACCAACGTGCCGATTGCGCTCAACATTACAGGCACGACGCCGGTCAACCCTGCGGTGATGAAGGTTGACATGCTGCTGCACAACTTCCCGTACCGGGTCTCGGGCCCGTCGCGGTTGGCTCTGGTGACGCGGGCGACGGCCAAGACGACGCAGGAGCCGCGCGACGACGACTCAGGCTCAGGCACCGAGGAGGAGGTTGTCGCGTTTGGCAAGGTTGGTGTCTTTGCTTGGGTCAAGAAGGCCAGCAACGGCAACGCGTCGGTTCCGATCTTCTCATCGCCGGTGGTCCTCAAGGACAACGTGGGCGACGAAGGCGAGTACGACATTACGTTCTCATTCGGCGCCGACAAGCCGTCGCATCTGGTGTGGGACCCGCAGCTCGGGGCGTCGAGCAACCCGATGGCAGGGATCACGACGTCGGCAGCGGGCACGAGCGTGCCTACTACCTCCGTCGCCGCCGCCGTCGCCGTCGCCGCCGTGGTTGCTCTCTGCATGGCCACGCTTGCGTAAGGTTTCTATCCCCTCACATCCCCCCGCCCTCATTGAACACAGACCTGTTTTTTTAGGGAGACGACGACGTTGTTGAGGGCTGAGGCAGGTCGCGGTCTTTGACCTTGAGCGAGCCCTTCTTGACGCGGACAGGCGCGCCCGAGGCGGCGGCAACCTTGGCCTCGTACACGCCGTCAAAGATCATGTTGAGCGGAAGCAGGTCCCAGTCCTCGCTGGTGAGCTTGATGCCCAGCTTGGCGTTATGGAAGAGAAGGTTGAGCTCGTTGGGGCCCTGCAGGGCGCGCTTGACAAGGTCAAAGCCCGCGTCGGCCATGTAGTCGACAAAATCGGTCTCGTTCTTGGCGCCGGCGTAGAGCGGGACGTTGGTCTGGACCTCGACGACAACGTTCTCTACCTTTTCAGCGAGCGCCGGCCCTGCCGAGAGTAGGACGTCAAAGTCTGCGCCCTGGGCGTCGATCTTGACAAACTGGACCGTCGGGAGCGGGAGGGCGTCGAGCACCTCCTGGAGCGAGAGGACCGGAACCTGGTATGCGTGGGTGACCTCAGTGCATCCACCGGGCCAGTCGTAGATGTCGGTCTCGGGATCGACCGGCTTGAGCGAAGAGCACTGGTCGGTGCCAGCCATGTGAAAGGTAGCGACGCCGCCGTCGGGCGCGACTGCCGCTGGGAGAGCCACCACCCGCGGATGCGCGTGAGTGATGGCCAGTTCGGCCCACATGCGGTAGAGCGGCTCAAAGGCAAAGACAAGCAAGTCCTCCTGCTCCTTGGCAAAAGGCAGCGTGTACATGGCGTCGCGGTGGGCGCCGACGTCAAACCACACCCGCTTGGTGGTCTTGGGCAGGCGGAACTGCATCGTCCGCGGATCGATAGGCACGCCGACCGGGACAGCAACCGCTGCGGATCCAGTGACCGAGACCAGAGCACGCGGGAGCGGGCCTGCAGGCATGAGCTTGGTGTGCTTGCCGTCGGTGTCCATGTCAACCTGCGGCGAGCGCCACCCGAGCTCGGCGCACTTGTCCAGCAGCTCGCCCGAGGTCTGCGGCGCGTTCTCGGCCGCTGCCGCTGCTGCTGCCGTCTGCACCTCCAACAACTGCTTGCGCATGGCATCGCGCGAGGCGTCGGCAGAGTCGACTGCCTCCTGCAGCATCTTGTCGGCCTCGCGCAGCGCCTCGACCTGCTCGGCCAGGCGCTCGGCGTTGGCCACGGCACCCTTGGCTTCATCCTCGGCCTGCTGCAAGCGTTCCTTCATCGACTCGATCTGGGACGCAAGCCGTCCCGAACGCGACTGCTCCTTGTCCAGCTGCTCGTACAGCGTATCGACGTTCTCCAGCGCGTGGACCAGATCGATCTTGCACTTTGCCCGCGAGTTGCGGGCGGCGTCGAGCGAGGCCGAGCCGGTGCCCGAGGTGAAGATGTACAGCAGGATGGCCGTAGCCACCATTGCGTACGCCAACAGACACACGTCACGTATGGACGCACCCATGATGTATGTGTGGAGAGAGGTGGGGTGCAGAGCGGTGTGGCCGAGAGCGACTGAGGACAGGACGCATGTGGGTCTCACCACGTCACGAGGGATCGACTGCCAGGTGGCGGCGGCGGCGGCGGTGGGGAGGGGGGCGGTGGGGTCGGTCGCGGAAGCCAACTCTTGTCGCCTTCTGTTGAGCTGGCAAGGGTGACTATCTGAGGGGGGGTGGGGGCACGTCATTCGTATGGAATCGGACAAGCGCCATGGCATCGGGTCTTTGCGGGCAGGAAGAGGGCGGAAGGAGGGGCGGGGTCGGGGTCGGGGTCGGGGTCGGGGTCGGGGTCGGGATCGGGAACATGCCGCTGCTGTCGTCGCTCCAGCTGCGGCCCCTCCAACATCGCCTGTGCGGGTGTATGCTCGGCTCGACGCCCGCGACACGGAGATTGACGGCGAGTGGGAGGCGGCGTATGCGGTGCTAGAGCAGCTCGTCGCCGGGAAGGAGGCCGAAGCAGCGGCCGAAGCTGTGCAAGAGGCGGCGGCGCGCGGGGCGGCGGTGGCCGCGCGGCTTGGTGTGGGCATCATGTATGGTGTGATGGCGGCAGGCGCCGATGTGGCGGCACAGGACGAGCTGCTGGTGCTGCTGCCGCATGCGGTTACCGATGGCTACGCTGGGTGCGCCGATCGGCTCGCGTGGCTCGTCACGAACCGATGGCGAGTCGTCCGCCCGTCTGCACAGATGGCGGCGCTGCGCCTTGTCGACCACCTCCTTCGCATGCGCATTGTCCGCTTTGCACATGTACTCGGCCTCATTGCCTCCACCTTGGCTCCGGCGGTCATGGGCCCGCTCGCTGCTGCTACTCTGGGCTGGCTCTGTGTCGCCCTCGAGCCGGCAGCAGCCTGGCTCGCTGCTGAGGCGCCGCCAGTCCTTGCCGCCTGCCTCATTGCCCTGCTCGAGATGGAGCCCAGCCTTGGCAGCCGCGGCCATACTCAGCTCCGGACAAGCGTGCAGCAGCTCACCTCCCGCCTCGCGCTTCAGCTGCCTGACGCGCTGCAGCCGGCAGGTGCAGACGCCGTGCTTCGACTGACTGCGCCTTTCCCCGAGTGGCAGATCGCGCACGAGGCAGCGGCAGCATCGGTCTTTTGCCGTTACCGGCTCGATCCGCAGCTCGCAGCGCGGCTCGAGTGGATGGCAGGCCACGTTCAGGTCGGCAGCCAGGGTCGGTATCAGACTTGGCTCGTCACCTCCCGGGGCTGGAGCACTGCCCGTAGCGACGCCACGCTAGCCGAGCTCACTTCCGCCATCCGGTTTGCTGTTCGATGCCTCCGCGCCCGGAGCCGAGCCACCGTTCCGCCATGGATGCTCGCGGGCTGGCTCGTCGGCCTTGGACTGCAGCTAGGGCTGGATCGGGTTGACCAGCTTGGCACCGCGCTTGTTAGCGACTGGCTCACCTTTACTGGTGCGCCGCACGAGACGGCGCGTCTCGAACCTGCCGCGCTCCTGCTCCGCCACTCGCTGCCGGACTTTGTCCCGCTCGCATCGTTAGTGCTCAGCTCTTTGGCGGCTGGCGCCGAGATGGGACCAGATCCAAAAGCACGAGCATCTGCTGCAGTCGGCGCTGTTGTCGCTGCAGGCTTGATTCCATCGCCCAAAACTGTTTTTGCCGCCGCACCGCTCTCGCCGGAGCTTCGCTCCCGGCTGTCGCGGCTGCTGCCATCCCAGCAAGCCCTCCCAGAGGCTGCTTCTGGGCGTCAGAACGACTCTGCCGCTCAAGCCGAAGTGCAGCAGTGCGGAACTAGTCACACCGATGTGCCCGACGAACTAGTGCTCTTTGGGCGGCATCTCCGCCGTCTGGTGGAAGGTGACGCAGCCAGTGCAGGCTCTGATCGCGATACGCTCCGCGCCCTCGTCTCGCACGTTCTCGCCGTCGATGGCCGCAAGGGCTACTCGCCGACCGCGCTCGCGGAATGGCTGCAGCGCTGCCTTCAGCCTGACCGCGTCGCCATTATCGACGCCGTCATGGGCCGGGCATCGCCACTTCGCGACGCGCTGGCTTCGACTTGGCCAGGTGCGAGTTTGGCAGCCTGGCTTCTCGCCACCAACGACAGCAGCGTGTGGCCAAGCATCGCTGCGCTCGCGCCCGACGATCTCGGCCACTTGGTGACATGTCTGGTCACCGTCTGGCCGGAAAGGACAGTCACTGCGCTCGCACGGTTGCTGCAGTGCTCCGAGCTGACGCTGACGGATGATCACCGCACGGCGACGCTGGCGAGCTTTGCACAGCACGCGGGATATGCCATGCTGGCCAACTTTGCTGAGCTTCGCGCAAGCACAGGTGCAACACTGCTGGCAGCGCCGATCCACGGCAGCGAGCCTGTCTTTGATGCGAGCCTCAATTGGGAGGAGGAGACCCAGGCGCGAATGTGGGCGGTGCTGGACGCCGAGCTTGCCGCTGTAGACGAGCCCGCTGCCTTACTGCAGAGCCTGCTCGCTGTGGCAGGCGCGTCGCCCGTAGCACGGCTGTTCCTCCACCGGACCCGGGCTACATTGGCTGGCAGCAACAAGCGCCGCCGTGAGTCCACAGACGATGACCTTCCACGGCACAAGCGGGCCAAGTCAAGCGTTGTCATAGACACCACCGGAAGTGAGACGCAGACCAAGCGTGTCACAGCGGGTCTTGAGACAATATAAGCGCCGAGTACGGCGGGAGAGAGAGGGTGAGTGAGAACGGGAAGAGGTCATAGGCTCCGCGGGCGGCAACGAGGCGAGAAACGCTGTCGGGCTCGTCTTCAAACCTGAGGCGGACATGCCAGACGCCTGAGCGCGGAACGCCGATGGCGTACTCGGCGTATGGCGTGTTGGAGACGTTGCAGATGACGACAACGTCGTCTCCACGCCCACCGCGGTGGAAGCGGTGATAGGCAACAACGTTGGCAGCGTCGTTGGTGTGGAAGACCCGGACGGAATCGGCAGTGAGACCACCGGTACAGCCGTGGACGTTGCGCCGGAGGCTGATGAGCGTCTGGAAGGTATGAAGGGTGCAGAGGGTCCGCGCCAGAGCCTCGTCGCTAGAAGCGGCCTCAAGCCGGGACCAGTCGAGATACAGCGGAGTCGGCCACGGCGGCGCATGGTTCTCGAGGACTTCCTGGCCAGCGCAAATCATGGGAATTCCCGGCGACGTGAGGAGGAGGACGGCGGCGAGGAGGGTGCGACGTAGGGCGAAAAACGACTCGCCGCCGTGCTGAATGGCGTGTGGGAGGCGCGACTCGCGATCGGCTGGAATGGTGTCGTGCGACTCGGTGTAGATGAGCCGTGACGACGGCGCTCCGCCGCCGGCCACACGGCCGATAGCCGATGCGATGGCATCCATTGACCGCAGCGCATCCGAGGCGAGCGTCATTTGGTGCGCTACCATCGAGCAGAACACAGGGTCCCACTGGGTATCAAAGCCAGCGCCACCGTAGGTGAGCAGCGGCTCCGAGTTGAGATCCTCAGCGATGAGGAGTCGGTCCGGAAAGCGGGCACGGACAATGGACGTCAGCTCCTGCATAAACTCCCAGGCCTCCACCAGGTCGGCGGCAGCGCCCCGGGCCGAAGCGCCGGCGTGCAAAGCCGGCTCGCTGCGGCGGAGTGTGCCTGTCGAGTCGACTCGGATGCCGTCGAGATGGTACTCATCGAGCCACATCAGCGCCGAGCGGATGAGCCAGGCCTGGACGTGCTGCGACGCAAGGTTCGGCCGTGGACCGTACGGCGTCGACCGAAGCTCCGGTTCGGCGTAGATGTATGGACCAGCCGACGCAGCGTCGGCGGTATCAAACGAGCGGACCACGGAGCGGACAGAAAGGTGGTTGGGGACCCAGTCAAGGATGACTGCAAGCCCGTGGGCGTGCGCGGCGTCGACAAAAGACTTCATCTCGTCGGGCGTGCCAAACGAGTCATGCGGCGAGTAGAGTGAGACCGGGTCGTAGCCCCAGCAAATGGTGTGCGCGTCCTGCGTAGGAGGTAGCAGCTGGATGGCATTAATGCCAAGCGAGACAAGGTACGGGAGCCGATCGATGGCGGCAAGCCAGGTTCCGTGTGGGGTAAAGCCGCCGATGTGGAGCTCGTACAGCACAAGCTCGTTGTACGGCGGGCGGACAAAGTCGCTGTCGGTCCAGGTAAACGCCGCGGAGTCGTAGACAAGATCATGGCGAATTCCGACATGCGGCGGAGCGACCCCCGGCTCGGGCGCGTCGCTCTCGCTCGCGCCAGCTGCCGGGAGGACGCAGAGCCAGCGGCCGCACGGGTCGTTGCGCCAGAGCGGGACTTCGGCGCCCGAGGCGTCGTGGGCAAAGACCACGTACTTGTAAGCATCGCCAACGGCTGCTGATGGCACAACGCCCGAAAAGTGCTCGCAGTCGGCCTCGGCCTCGAGGACGTGCATGGTGGGCGACCAGTTGTTAAAGACACCGGCGACGCAGACGCGCGAGGCCGACGGAGCCCAGACCCGAAAGATGACGCCCGCGCCGTGCGGCAGTGGGTATGCGCCCATGATGTCGGCCTCAAGCGCATCTGGTGGCGGTGCGAGCACCTGGTGCCGCGGCGAGCGCGCGTTGTCGAGGACAACAATGTTGTCGGGAAAGTGGCAGACGGTGCAAAAGACAGCGGCGCCTTCGTTGCGAGCCTGGCAGGCTGGGCAGGCCCAGACGCCATCGCGAACCGCGCCTCGGTGCGGTGCACGAGCCGGTCGTGGCGCGGCGCACACTTCACACGCCAACGCGCCCTGCGCGTTGCCGGAGAAGGTACAGATGTGGCAGGCCCACGGATCGACGACGTCGACGGAACCACCTCGCGAGAGCGAGACCATTAGCGGCGGATCGGTAGTGGTGGGCGAGGACATCGGAACAGCCATGCCGTGCATCCCCGACGACGATGAGCCAGCACTGGTGCCGGCATCCAGCGACAGGGCCCTGAGCGCATCCGCCAGAGCCGGTAGCGCGGTGTCCCTCGGCCGCGGCGGGAGGCGCGGCGATGGCAGCGGTCGCGGCGAGTGCGGCGGCAGCCTCTCCTCGCCCTGGTGTGGGATAGCAGCCAGATCACAGCCTCTGCCCAGCGGCGATGACCCTGGCCGAGCCGGGCTTGATAGCGCTGAGAGCACCGTGCCTGGAGTGACCGGGCGGAGGGCAAAGCATGTGGTGCACACCGCCGAGCTTGGCGGGTTGGCGAGGGTGCATGTGGCGCAGGTCCATTCGGCCGAGGCCATATGCGAGGACAAGGAGGACGAGGTGTGAATGTGGGTTTTGGGAAGGTGAAGTGAAGTGAGGGGGACATTCTCGTCGTCCCTCTGTGGCCGGTGGCCTTGGCGGGGGGGCGGGGG